TTTTATTATTATTATTATTATTATTATAAAAGGGCGACGGCCTTGAGATATTATCATTGAATTGACCGGCCCCAAGCAATTCATTAGTAGTTGGTTTCACTTGTCAAGTTCCATCATCTTCAGTCAGACTTCCTGGACTCATACTAAGTTCGCATTTCCCGGTCACTCACGTTTTCTGATTCGAAGGCGAGTTCCGTGGTTAATAGACCATCAGTGCCAAGGGCAGTCGTCTGCTCCTGGAAGCGACTAGGACAGAGAAGCTTCTAGTTGGATGAATTGAGTGCCGTCGTAGCGGCAATAAATCCCTAGAATTGCGAACTGATAGAAGACACAACTATTTGCCGATGAACATTGCCGAAAAAACAGGCTTTATTTATTAGTCCTGATATTCCTGCCTCATCTATTTGAATTTCATAATGCCTTCCTCTCTTCTCAGAGCGGCTCCCTTCCTCGCCTAATTTGCAGCAATTTCCCTCTTCCCCATTTTTTTTTTTTTTTTTAGCAAGTTCCCTCTGCTTATGAGTCTATAAGCTCGCTTCTTTAGGAAAGCAAAACCTTAAGCCCTACCCTCCTGGATAGCCTTGCCCACGAGTACTTAGGTCTGAAATCGAATTCTGTCAGTTAATTGCCCTAAACTGTGCCGATCTCTAACTGACACAATTCCTCTCTTGGATTCAGAGCTCCTGGTACTCGCTGCAATCCAACTGTAGATCAAAGTCTTCCTATTGTTTGACAAGTCGGTTGCGGCTTCTACATATCCATTCTTGGGATAGGTAGGTAGCCTTCCTTCTCTCTGAGCGGGAATTACGATCTCGATCCGGACAAACTGGAGTGTCCAAATTCGCTACTAGTTTTGAGTACTTAGTCCTTCCTAACACTCCTTGCCAGATTGAGGCTCGTCCTTCTTCCCTGGTCCAAGTATTTAGTATAATCGAACCAGGCACAGCTAATATTAACACTCCTATCGACTAGCTACCTTCTTCCCCGAATACATCACCCAGTCATTATAGCTGTATTTGGCACAACTTTCGGTCCGGATGCAGCGATAATGAGCGGGCGTTCTATTCGGGTGAAGACGGTAGTCACAAGTTCTGATCTCTTGAGAATTACTCAGACCTTCGTATCCTTCAAGCACTCGCCCGAACCCAGTCCTGAGTTTCGATGGTAATAGTCTTCTCCCAACGGCGAATCGGTGTGACATACACCCCGAATTACCTTGAGCCCAGCAGGAGTTCTAGATGCGCAGCAACGAACTCTCCCAGATTTCACGCCCAGTACCTATTGAACAATCAGAGAATTTTTTTTTCTTTTTTTTTTTATGCATTCATAATGATAATTACTAGGGGCGACTGAGGGCAGTCACGTTTTGAGTTCTAAATTCTCTTCAGGCATCCCTCGAATACAACATATCCCCATCTGACCCTAAGGCCGGATTGGATACATTCACAATTTTCCTTGCTTTGGAGCAAATTCACGAAACCGCATTTAAACTGAACCTCGACAGCGCCTTAGTTTTCCCTAAATGCTATGGTCGGTCTAAGAAAACGGCGGGAAAGCAAGTCCTCGACCCTAATTACACTTTAGATCATGCATTTACCTCAACCTACCGGAATCAGCGACACAGTTACTACCTACTATTCGTGCTTCATCTACATGCCTACTCCAACGAAGAGTTGCCCAAGCACGGAGTAAAACAGCAGGCCGAAATCTCAACCACAGTAAACCTAATGAAATCTAAAGCTAAATTTTGATGTGGGTATCCTAATTCGGGCAGAAAGAATTTTGATACAAAAGAAGGCCAGATTCCTCAACCAAGAAGTCGGGTACATACCTAACCCTCGAAAATCGCGTCCACGAGCTCCGCGAAAAATTGCAAAAATAACCTTCCACAGAACTTACTGAAATTCTCGCTACTTCGATGCGCAGGTTTGCGCGTGCTGTTTCCTCCGCTGCTCAGGGCAGCACTCAAGCGCAAGGGGCCTCAATGATGTCGAGTGATCTTCTAAATATAGCAAACGTCCATCCAGTTGTGGGCAGCTTGGGAGGAGGCCCGGTTGTCCCGGAGGAACTTCAGCGCCTCCTGGTCCAAGATCCCAGGTGAGGGCCTCAGGCTCTTCTGTCCCCCTCTTTTACTGCAGTTCAGTTGTAGTGAGCGGGAAAACCCGGCCGTTACTTTGCAGAATACGTGGGCCAATAGGCCTCCCTGAAACTGGACCTTTAAATACTCCCCGTGGTGAGGGGACAGGAGGTCACCATTTGTAAAATGGACAGGGACGACGGGGATGGCCAAATGCATTCATTGCCCAAACTAGGAAACGAGTTTGATGCCAGACAGCCAAACACAGCTGTCAGAGTTCCTCCCTTTCAGGATGCAACAAGGTCTAAAAAAACAAAAAAAAGGAAAGGCACTGCAGTTGAGAAATGTACCCTACCGGACGTCTTCATAGAGCTGGAGGTTAACTTCTTCCTTCTCCGTCGCCTTCTCGGCGTAAGGACAAAGGGCACGGAGAAGCAAGGGAAGGTCGCAAGACTGGCCAAGGCGGAGATTCTGATGCTGAACATTGGTTCTATGTGTACAGGCGCGCTCGTGGTCGCCGTGAAAAATGACCTGGCGAAATTGCAGTTGACATCGCCCGTCTGCACGAAGCAGGGGGAAAAGATTGCTCTCAGCAGAAGGGTAGAGAAGCATTGGCGAATGATCGGTTGGGGGCAGATCCAAGCGGGGCTCAGGCTCGATGTGCCAAGCACGTTTTCGAAGTAGGGGGCTAGCAATAGCAAGGAAAGAATTGTTGTTGGGGTCTTGTCTGGTGTTTAGGAAATCAGTCATCATCGATTCATCGCGAGTTTTGTGGGAGATGGAGAGAGAGAAGAGGCAGGAGAGAGAGGAGAAAGAGGAGAGAGAGAAGAGTTCAAGCCATGTGGTGACACGGTGGTCACACAACGAAATGATGCTGGCATGTGTGTTTTTCATTCTTACGATGTTGTTGGAGAGAGTGGCGGGG